CAGTTATTATTTTATTACTACTAATTTGCAAAAACATTACCACTAATGTTTATCCAAATTCATGATGAAAATATCTGGTAATAGCAATGAAAGCTTATACTTGACATCCAATAGAAGAAAATATTATAATACTAAAACAAACAAGTCAAACCATACTCAAGATTGAATTTTGTGTCAATAGCCAAAAAAGTATTTGATATTCCCTTCTGTAAAACTACCTGTTTCATTTTTTTATGATGGCAGGTTATCACCATAACTTCATTCGGCTTGGAAACAAAAAGGCAACAACTCTTGGGGTGGATTATAACTATGCCTCAGTGATGCACTACTCGCCAAAAGCCTTCTCTAAAAATAAGAAAAAGCTAACCATTGTCCCTAAAAAGGTAAGTCATGAACGGTACATAGACTTAACAAGCAATCTGTCAAAAATTGTGTGAAAAATTATGTGGTTATAAAAATTACTTCCATAACTCTACATTCTAAACACTTTCTTTCCATTATATTAGAACTACAATAAAAACATCAAGCTGATGGGCCAACGAAAGGGACCTGCCCTTACAGACCTGGAGAAAATAAACAAACTTTACGAATGCAAAGACACTGAAGAGGAGAGTTAGGTTGGATGCACAACCACAGTGAACGACACACATGGTAATAATATAATTTTGTCGGAATATTAAGTATTCTGTTTTTAGTATGCTTTTGAGTTATTCAAATATCAGTAGACAAAAAATTATATATAAGCATATATATACACATGTATATATCATATAAATGTATATATATATATATATATATATATATATATATATATATATATATATATATATATATATATATATATATATATATATATATATATATATATATATATATATATATATCAAACTCCTTAATGTACAAAATGTATAAAGCACTAGTACTGTGTTGCTACCATAAAAGGTATAATCAAACAATTCAGCATAAGCATATTTGTATATTTCATTACTATTAACTGGGAAATATAAAAAGTCTTTAGATGGTCTTTTCATATCCTAAATCTCCTTGAGCATGCTTTCTTCCAGCATGTTTCATCTTATTTCCTATCAACTCAGTGACTGGCAGTACTCAATAATTTCTGTAAAGAAGGAAAAGAGGATATATACATACATAAATAAATATAATTTATATAAATAATCAATAAATATATAAATATAAATATATACATACACAAACACTCTGTCTATATGTGTACTTTATATGTTACAAATATTAAAAAAATAAATAACAAGGCTACTATTTACAGCCTTTTATCAAATACTGATTCAATCCTTATTGACTAAATTGTGCGATCATACTTACTCTTTGCTATTTCCTTGTAACCCAGAGTTGCAGGTGCATCTGGTTCCTCTGTTAAGAAATTCTGTCCATGATCACAAGCACGAGCAATCCTGGGGTCTAATGGTAATTGTCCTAACAATGGTAAACCTGATTCTGCAGCCAGCTGGGTACCTCCTCCTGTTGTTGCTGGGAAAATTGCTGTTTCTGTCTGAAATGACAAATCGCAGCAAAAGACATAAAGACCGAGGTATCAATAAAATACATAAATGCATAATACATCAAACACAATCCACCTGTAAAATGATAAATGCAAATTACTTCTTGAATGAAAAGTCTTTTAAATGCTTGCAAGTACTTCTGTCATAAATCTTTCAACACAAAAACTTCTTACTTACCTTGCATTTTGGGCACACAAATGTAGTCATGTTTTCAATTATACCTATTATTGGAATGTTCACCTTTCGGCAAAAGGTTATTTCTTTTCGCACATCAAGGAGAGCAACTTCCTGGTGGAAGAAAATAGATAAAATTGATACATTTGTAACTATATGGATTTTTCTTAATATTTGAGACCAGTTTCATTACTTTTAATATTAATTAGTTTCTTGTTATTGCTTTTCTTCTTTCCTATCTAATTTCATATTCTGTTCTATTAATGTATATTATTAATAGCTACAACTGACTACCCAATGAGGCCCTAAAAATTACATTTAACACTTTGTCCGCAAGTAGCATCTCGTATGTTGCCAAGGCAGTTTGTGGACAAAGTACCAGGTGTCATCGCATCACAACCCTTCCCACACCATTGGCTCATCACAGATCATAGTTTTCTCCAATAGTAGCAGTACCATATGTATGGTTAAACTTTTAGGCAATAGCACCTATGGTGAAGGCGATCCTTCAAAATATACTCTTCAAAATCATATCAAAATAAAGGTTTTTAGATACCTAATGTTGCCCGCAAACTACCAATAAACCTGACGCAAACAGGGGACACTGTCAGTGTGCGCCAACATCCCCGCAATCATGTCTACTTACCAAACTTTTTTACTTGTGGATATTGGGTTACAGGTAGCATTTATCTTATTATCATATATATTATTTTTTTGGTACTTCTGACTTGCCCTTTTATTCTTATATGATTGACTTTGAAATTAAAGACACACATATACACATACAAAAATAATAATAACAACAATAATAATAATAATAATAATAATAACAGACAAAAAAGAGTAATAAAAATTATAAAATAATAATAAAAAGCACAAATAAATATATAAAAAGAAGCAAAAATGAGGGTATCTCGCTTATGCAAGCTATACATAGACCTACATAGAACACTCAGCCAGTGTCATGACCTGTCTGTTCCATATTTTCTATATTGCCTTCAATTTATAGCTCTCAAAAACATTTTTTGTATAATAAAATAGTATCTCTTAATTCTGTGAAAAATATGGAAAAATCTGAAAAACAGGAAATGGACATATCTTGATCGCTGTCTTATGGAATGTAACAACACTAAATTACTCTTCCCTGTCAAAACCATAACCTAAGCAATAGGAGGAAAGATTTCTTTTCACTAACTACTTACCAAATGCTGAAGAAATCTAAAGAACTTAATTGTTTTCAAGGTGAGATTACTAAATTTATTTACCTCTAAAATAATATATACAGCTTCCTTGTTTAAGTATTAACCCAACTGGCACTCTACAAGATAAGGCAAAATATGGAAATATTAAAACAAACTGCTACGTAAACTTATAGTTTGAAGGCTAAAGAATTAAATATTCACTTATCTCACAAAATTACATTTGTGGTTGTTTTGAAGGTTCTCTTACTGAATAGAATCCATATGAAAATTATTATTGTAAAATTTTCCATGGTATGTTTTATCACATCTAACTGAACCTATCTTACTATCTTAATCCAGAGCCTGTTTAGTAATGAATGAGCACTTCAACAACCTAATACAATGAAATATCTCGAACACATCTGTGATTTAATCATTAATCAATAAACATCTCCCAAAATCATGCAGTCATTCATAAATACAAATTCTGAGGCTAAGTTAAGCTGTGGTAAATTGTAAATATCTAGGTCAATCTCCTGCCATGAACATGATAGACATTTTATTATTATTGCTATTATTGTAAAAACTAAAACTTTAGCAAGGTAAACTTTAGCAAGGAGGTTTAGTTTGGCAAAGCTTACGAATTATGAGGACAACTGCTTTTCACTTATTCATTTTGGAGCAGTGATTTCTGCTCATTATCCATTTATTCTTACATGATTGAGACTCAAAAAATGATAAACATTATTATATCATTTTTATCATTATTGTTATTAACATTATAAAAACAGAACACAGCATATAATTGCAGTAACTGCTACTTTCCTTCCAGATTTTTAACAATAAAAATGGGGCAGGTTTATTTTATTCAGGAAGAAGAAAAAAGGACACAAAGTGTTTTTTGTTTAACTTCTGATATAGTTATGTAATAGCTCTTCATTTTTTAAAAACATTTTCAGAAACATTTTAAGAAAGCATCTCTTCTATACATATTTTTTCTTGTAAGAATACAAAGCTGAAATTAAGAAGTTTGCATATGTACTGCCTGACCAATTATTTTCTAAATAAATAATTATTTGTTAAAATTATGACCAAAAGTAGCAGCCACCAGAAGCAAATCAGTGATCTCAGATATTTGGATTTATAAGTTCACAAACAATTACCTCTCCCAATCATCTTCTATATTCATTTATAATTACCTTCTGGTTAAAATATATCTACAGTATATACAGTATTATGCACAGTGTAGTAAAATAATTTCACATTTTTATTGGCATACTGCTTTAGTAGTAATAATGATTTCTAACACAAACAGGTGAATATTTTAAAAATTGAATTGTTAGTACTTAATGAACATATATCTTTTACAAAGATAAATATTTATGTTATAGAAGTGGAATGTGAATAAGGTAAAACAATGAAAATAACAAAAAAGAGTAATAATGATAAACAAATACAAATAATATATTTACTAAGGGTATGATTGTCTACAAGATTAGTGGTTCTCAACCTGCACATTGTGAAACAATTGTTATTATCATCCTTGAATAAAATTTTGAAGATGTGTATTTCTTGCCTTCATAGTTACTGCTTAATTTTGAAACTGGGAAAATGTAAAAAACTGCAAGCCATTTCTAATATATTTTTGTTCACAGATTGTCTTTACACACAGATGGCTCCACAAGTGCTTAATCATCATGGAGTCAATTACCAGTCCTACCTATTTTACCTGTTAAGCTTTTTCCATGACTTTTAGAAAGATTCTATTAATCTTTTTATTTTTAATAGTATTGCTAACAATATCATAATAATGATAGTAATAATAATATCAATATCAATAATATCAGAAAAAACATATTTTCCTAAAATTTAATAAAAGGGGAAATCAGGTGATATCACAGAACTGAGCTAATTGTCTCCTTGGTGTCTGAGCACTTGTGGAGTCATCTATGTGTACATGTTTTGAAAATAATAAGAGCTGAATACTTCAGAGTATAAAACTGTAACTTCGGTGGATGTAGCAGAAGGTTGAATATCACCCAGTATATAAGAAACATCTAAATCTATCTCTTGGAAAAGTTATATGCCATAGCTCTTATAATTCTCATTAAAAGAAATTATTTCCAGACCTTGCAAATATCCCCATAACTTCTAAAATTGTTTTATTTCATGGCAGATTTTATCAATCCAAGTGAATACATTCAGCTGTAGTTTTAATACTTTAGTCAAGTATAATGCAATAACCTTTTTTTCAACAGAACCATTAGAATTAACATGGGGTACAATCCATTTAAAAAAATTCTAGAGGGTCTGGTATAGTTAAGAGATATTAACCCATTGGCGCCGGGTGTCACGTACATACATGCCATGGCTGTTGTGGACCAAACGCCGGGGGCATCATGTCATGCCCATTCCCGCGCAACTGGCTCGTCGGACGGAGGTTGTTTTTCTCCAGTAGTAGCGGCTTCATTTATATGGTAAAGATTTTGGGCAATGGCACCTAAAGTGAAGGTAAACCTTCAAAATTTTAATATTTATATAAATTTTTGCAAAATAAAAGCTTTTAGGTGCTATATGTTGCTCGCAAACTACCGATCGAGCCGGGCGCAAACAGGGGAAACTGCCGGTGCGCGCCAACAAGCCCGTGCATACGTAAACTTGCCAAAATTTTTACCCCTCGCTGATGGGTTAAGGTTGAGTTACCAAAAATACATATAACTTGATATCTCCAAAATCACTTTTTTTCAAATTTCATAAAGGTTTTAGCTCTTCTCTTGATATCAGTTCTGCAGAACAATTCTAATAAAGCCAATATATTTAATACATTTACTGCAGCAATCCTAATAAACATTTCTCAGGGTAATCAAATATTCCCCTGTTGCAATTTACTAAATTATTTCTTAAATTATCCAATACTGATGTATCTTTATCCTTTTTGCCTTTTCCAAATATGAACACATATCTCTTTCAGCACATGAAAACACTTTTCATATTGTTATTATTTCTAGTCATAATTTATTTTTCTCCTGTTTCTATGAACTGGTAGTACTACCATTAAACTTCCAGACCAAAGGACTTGAACCTAATGCTTCATATGTACAGTCTTCTACATATAAAATTCAAACTTAAATATTTTTAGAACAAATAATACAAAACACCTTGTAGTTGCATAACAAACCTGTGGAGTTGTGACAATGACCGCAGCAACTGGTGGTGATGCTGATAGGTATTGGACAATACTGAGGTGCTCATCGCTTGTCCCTGGGGGAGTGTCGACAACTAGGTAGTCCAAAGAATCCCAGTCCACATCTCGCAAAAACTGCTTTATCATCCCTATTTATAAAAAAAACAAAATATGGTTTATATACATGCACATGGAATCATGAATTCACTACATTGTCTAAATATGTAACAGAGATCTGAAAATAATGTATAGAAGAAAAAATCATAATGCATTTATGTTATGAAATCTTCCCTTGTAAATAACTGAATCAACCTATCAAGATATATGTATATAATTCTAAACACTTCAAGCCTCATTTACAAGAGTAAGCACTGTACCATTCTTTTTAGGTCCTCTCCATATGACAGCATCATCTGCACTATTCAGAAGGAAGCCTATTGACATCACAGCAAGGTTCTCTGAAATGTACTGAATAAGATTTAGATTAGAATAATGTCTGGTACAAGTTAACAGATTTTGGCCTTAAGGAAAATTTACAGAAGTTCTATATATATATATTATACATATGTTGTGTGTGTGTGTGTGTGTGTGTGTGTGTGTGTGGTGTGTGTGTGTGTGTGTGTGTGTGTGTGTGTGTGTGGTGTGTGTGTGTGTGTGTGTGTGTGTGTGTGTGTGTGTGCGCACGTGGATGGGTGTGTGTGTGCGCACGTGGGGTGGGTGGATGGTGTGGGTGAGTGGGTGGTGTGCATGTGTGTGCGTGTGTGTGTGGTGTGTGCGTGCGTGTGCGTGTGTGTGTGTGGGTGTGCGAGTATTCTAATAGGTTCATCTTTCTATTCACAAATATATGCAAAATGTAATTAAGTGGGGGTTTGCAGCTACGTAGTGCCTCAGCACAATTTTCATTAGGCATAGTTCAAGGTTTTTAAAAATATAGACTGCTTTGCAATAGAAGTGTGTACATTTTTTGTTTTATTCCCAAAACTGAAACTATAACAAATAAATAAATGTCAAACTAATCTAAAGTTCAAATGCAGACTGAAGAATAAGAGGCAATGTCAACTTTTTTCTTCATTATCTTAAATGTTTTATTTAAAAAACACCAGGTACAAAATGAAAGTATTGGTATAAAATTTTACAATTTCATATGACAACATATTAAAAATTCAGATTTTGTATCATTCATGAAATCAAACTGCTGAAACTAAAATATCAATAATCTTAGTCATAATACAGTCAAAGTACAATAAGTGTGGGACAGCAGCAATATCATTTATGATAAGATTTTATATAGCTACTTTTTATACATCACAAGGAAACTTACAACAGGTGACCAGCCTGCCCCAGATGAATGGACCTTTTCTTCCTCTGCACCTAAGACACGGGGTTGTGACGGTCCACATATGTCAATGTCAAGGATTCCAAC